TCTTATTGGAGTATAGTTGCTTTACAATGTTTATTAGTTTCTGTTGTATAGCAAAGTGAATCAGTTATACATATACCAAGGAGGAAAGGAGTGGTGAGATGAATTGGGAGATTGGAGTTGACATATATACACTACTATATATAAAGTAGATAACTAATGGAAACCACTGTATAGTAGTTTCATTTCTCAGGGAGCTGTACTCAATGGCCCATTCCTTTGACTCTCTGGCCTACTGCAATGCTGGATCCCTGGGCTAGGGCTCCTCTTAAAGTGAGATATTTTCTATTGATTTTTGAAGTACATGACCTGGTTTGGATGGAGAAGCTATGGTTTTGTATTTTTATCATTCCTTGTGATTTCTATGTACACCCTCATAATTTGATCTCTCTAGCATTTAAAGGCTTTACTTTTGGATATATATTTCCATACCCTCTTGCTTTCCTCCTCCTTTTCCTTCTTCCTCCTCTTCTTCCTCCTCCTTCTCCTTTGTCTTCTTCCTCCTCCTTCTCCTTTGTCTTCTTCCTCCTCCATTTTTTTCTTCCCCTCCTTTTTTGTTTTCTTTGTTTTAAATGTCTTTCCTCCAAAGGCATCTTCCTTCATCTTCCATATCAGTGTTTTCAGGAGCCTCTTTTTTTGTGTGTATTTGAAACCTGTATTTTTAGTTTAGTTTGTAAAGAAACAAATGTGCATTATAAAGATGGGAAAAAAATAAAAAGCAGTGGAACAAAAGACATCCATACACCCCAAGGAACAGTTGTTTTCAAACAGAAGGAGAGGCTACAGGAGAGAAGAGTAAGCTTGGTCTCAGGTGAGAGCATGATATTGCCCCTGAGGTTTCAGTTTCCTCATCACCAAAATGAAGGGTTTGACTTGATGGTCCTCAGGCCACTCCCAGCATTATAAATGACTTAGTGATTGGACATAATTGTCTTCAAATAGCTGAAAGGCTGTAAGGGCATCCAAAGGAGCAGATTGATCAATGCACTTCCAGACTCCAGAAGATGAAACTGGATGGGTGGGTGGAGTGACAGGTAAACTATGAAAACTTCACTAATAATCAGAACTACCCCCAAATAGAGAGGACAACCTGTCAAGTGCCAAGGTGTCTGCTCTGGGATAAACTGATGCCCATCAGTTTCAGTTTCAGGACCCACTTTTCTAGTCTTTCTCATTCTCAAAGACTTCTTGTTGTTGTTCAGTCGCTAGGTCATGTCCAACTTTGCAACCGCACAGACTGCAGCACGCCAGGCTTCTCTGTCCTTCACTATCTCCCTGAGTTTGCTCCAACTCATGTCCATTGAGTCGGTGATGCCATCCAACCATCTCATCCTCTGTCACTCCCTTCTCCTCCTGCCCTCAATCTTTCCCTGCATCAGGGTCTTTTCCAACAAATTGGCTCTTTGTATCAGGTGGCCAAAACACTGGAGCTTCAGCTTCAGCATCAGTCCTTTCAATGAATATTCAGGGTTGATTTCCTTTTGGATTGACTGTTTTGATCTCCTTGCAGTCCAAGGGACTCTCAAGAGTCTTCTTCAGCACCACAATTCGAAAGCATCGATTCTTAGGTGCTCAGCCTTTTTTATGGTCCAACTCTCATATCCACACATGACTACTGGAAAAACCATAGTTTGACTATGTGGACTTTTTTGGGAAAGTGATGTATCTGCTTTTTAATCCGCTATCTAGGTTTGTCATTGCTTTTCTTCCAAGGAGCAAGCATCTTAATTTCATGGCTGCATTACCATCTGCAGCTCAAGAAAATAAAATCTGATACTGCTTCCACTTTTTCTCCTTCTTTTTGCCATGAAGTGACCTTTTAGGTGCCATATTTCAATAGGCAGAGTGGTTCTTGTGGTTTAGGAGGAATGTGCAAAGATTTCATTCTTGCTCAGAATTCTCACTGCTCTTCTTCCCTGCCCCAAGTTCTTCTATCCTCAATTTATTTTCCCCAAACCTGCTATGTTTTCCCAGTGGAAATCTACTCTTATTTGGTTTAAATAAAAAGGTCTTTGGCACTTTCAAAAATGCTCAAAGACTACACGATTATGTGTATACAGATTTCTATATTATTATGTGAAGGCCCATAGCTGTCATTTATGAATTACCTATTGTATTCTAAATGCCTTCTAATTAGTGCATCAGGGAGTAGCTCCTTGAATTCTCCCCACAATTCTTTCTCATATCGGTTCCCCTCTACAGAAAAGTAATTTCTCCAGCATCGCACAGCTCAAAGGCATATTATCATTTCAGTTGCTCAGTCATGTCCAACTCTTTGCAATCCTATGGACTGCAGCCGCCAGGCCTCCCTGTTTATCACCAACTTCCGGAGTTTACTCAAACTCATGTCCATTGAGTCGGTGATGTCATCCAACCTTCTCATCTTCTGTCATCCCCTTCTCCTCCCACCTTCAATCTTTCCCACCATCAGGGTCCTTTCAAATGAGTCAGTTATTTGCATCAGGTGGCCAAAGTACTGGAGTTTCAGCTTCAACATCAGTCCTTCCAATGAATATTCATGACTGATATCCTTTCAGATGGACTGGTTGGATCTCCTGTCTGTCCAAGGGACTCTCAAGAGTCTTCTCCAACACCACAGTTCAAAAGCATCAGTTCTTCAGTGCTCAGCTTTCTTTATAGTCCAACTCTCACATCCATAAATGACTTCTGGAAAAACCATAGCTTTGACTAGATGGACCTTTGTTGGCAAAGTAATGTCTTTGCTTTTTAATATGCTGTATAGGTTGGTCATAACTTTTCTTCCAATGTTAACATGTATTCAAAAGAAAGACAAGGGAAAAAACCCATAAACATTCTAAAGCTAGTTTTCTGCCTCTAAACTCGTGTTCTTGATCTCTGCCTAACATGCATGAGTCTTTGTGTAAGAAAGAAAAATTATAAAAATGTTTTCACTAACGAGTAAAATATACTGTATCAGCTTAATGACACAGAAGGATAATAATCAGAAAAAGAACAAGACTTGGAGTGAGGAGTACTAGGTTTGGGACTAGGTCCATCATTTATGAGCCCTTTAAACTTGAACAAGTAATTTTACCTGCTGAGTTAGTTTTCTTTTGCTGTGTAACAAACTACCACAAATTTTGTGGCTTAACAGGACATCCAACTGCAAAATCCAGAACTCTCTCAAGTTGGAAGTCTGGATGAGCTCAACTGGATTCTCTGCTTAATTAAGGCTAAAATCAAGATGTTGATGATCTGATCTTACGTGCAGTTTCTAGAGAAGAATCTGCTTTCAAGATCATTCAGGTTGTTGGAAAAATCCAGTTGCTAGCTCTGCAGCTCATGCTTTCTTACTGGCTGTCAGCCAGGGGTCGCTCTCTACTCCTAGGAGGCTGCCCACATTTCCAGTCTGGATTTTCCTAGGAGGTTTTTGTGACGACGACTAAATGAGAAGTATTGTGCATATAGTGGTGATGGATATTATCATTGCTTAATGTTGCTGGGTGTAGAGGATACTCCTCAACCTCTAAACACAGAACATGTCTACACCACAGAAATCCTACCAAGAGGCAGGTTCCTAAGTCTTATAACAGAAGTGTCAGTTGGTCTTCCCCAACAAAGACAGAAACTGGGTTTTGTGCTGGACAAATGTTTATTGAGTGAAGTGGATGAGATGCGGTGAGGTGTCTATCACCAGTAATGAGAAGGGTGCTAACTGGCCTTCCTGCAGTGAAGAAAAGGTGGCGAGGGTTGGGAAAGGCTAAACCCGCAGAGGGCAAAAAGTGAAGAAGTGGTTTGGATCGCAGTAGGTGAGAAATGCCTGCATCGCCAGTGGGGTAAGCGGACCCCCCTCAGTGGGCGGGCACTTGTGAACACAGGGCCGCCTCCCACCCCCGCCCCTGCCTGGGCTGTGGGTACCTGTGTGGGGGACGCCGGGGAGACTGCCGGGGGCGCGTCTGACTCGGTCAGCCCCTCACAACCCAATCCCCCCTCCGTGAGCGGTGCAAGTGGAGTCTCCCAGTCTGCGCCCCCTGGCTCTAGCTAACCAATCTCAGTCCCACTGTCGGTTGGAGCATTTCGCCCGGAGCCTCCGAGCGTGCTGGTTGCCGGCTGCAGCTGGGAGCTTGGTTGCGCAATTACTTGCCGCCACTGCGGCCGCGGCCAAAGCCACCTGGGCAAGGAGCGAATTTGCCGCGAGGTTCCCACCTCGGAAAGAGGTAAAAGCTATCGTTCGCCTTTTCTCGGGCACTCAAACGCAAGGTGTAGCGAGCGAACCAGCCGGGATTATCGCGGGGTGGAAAGCAATGGGCACGTTATCAGGGAAGCGGGTACCTGGGGACAGTTGCTGCAGGTTAGGGGGTCTCTGTTAGCGTTACGAATCCTGGTCCCTGTGGGCTTCCTGGGCGCCCCCACCACTGTCCTCCGTGACCACACCCTGGATCGCGGTGTCTGCGGCAACCTACCCTTGCCCGCAGTGATCGATCCTTGTCAGAGATGCGCATAATTTTTACTACAGCAGGAAAGAAAACAGCAAGGGCTTATTTAGGGTGAAAATGTTTGCTAACATTGCTCGGATGTGCATGTTTTAAGGGTTGGCAAGCTGTCCATTATTGCGGTATTCTGTAGTGTGGCATGATAAAATAAAATAAAAATAGGTGTGTAGCCACCGCGAAAGCAACAAACAGGTATCATTGGAAGAAGAGGCTCGGGGCGCTCCTGCCCTCCTCCCTACCCGCATTGCCTTTGGTGGGCTCCTGGGGTGGGCAGGCAGACAGCTCACCGCAGCGCGTGGAGGAGGGAGGGGGGAAGTGGGAGGAGGGAGGAGGGCGGGGTTAGAGAGCGAGACGAGGCAGACCCCACCCCCCGCCTCTCCACCCCCACGTCCCCAGGGAGAAGTGGGCCCGTCGCTGCGCCAAGACACCATTCCGAGCTAGACTCCCACCGGTCACACATCCTCTCTTCTCTCCTCCTCTGTAGGTGTCCCTCACTGCGGGCCAAGTGCCAGAGAAGCCGTGCACGCACCTCTCAGCTAATACCTGACGATGGGCAACTCCTGCTTCGGCCTCAAGGAACGGCTGATGAAGCGGCTGCGGCCCCTGCCGACCGTGATCGTCATCCGCACCTGCCTGCCCCAGAGAAGGAGCAGAGATTTCCGCGTGGTGGTGCTCGGCTCGGCCGGCGTGGGCAAGAGCGCGCTGGTGCAAAGGTGGGTGCGCGGCAACTTCCGTGAGGCGTACCTGCCGACCATCGAAGATACCTATCGCCAGGCGCTAGGCTGCAGCCACAAGGCGGGCGCGCTGCACATCACCGACACCACCGGTGGCCGCCGCTACCGGGGCCTGCAGCGCCTTGCCATTGCCAGGGGTCATGCCTTCATCCTGGTTTATTCTATCACCAGGAAGCAAACCCTGGAGGAGCTGAAGCCGCTCTATGAGCTGATCCGTCAACTCAAAGGTAACAACCCGCAAAAGTGCCCCGTCATCCTGGTGGGCAACAAGTGCGATGAGAGCCGCCGGGAGGTGAGTGAGAAGGAAGGTGCTGCCTATGCGTGCGAGTGGAATTGCGCCTTCTTGGAGACCTCGGCCAAGATGAATATCAACGTCCAGGAGCTGTTCCAGTTGCTGATTAATTTTGAGAAGAAGCCCGCCGCCGCCGCGGCCCCTGCCGGCACCCAGCCGCCGCAGAAGAAGTCCCAGATCCCGAAGACCGCCGAGAAGCTGCTGGGCAAGTGCATCGTCATGTGAATCCTGAGCCTTAAAGATCGCGACCCCGCTTCTTCTTCAGTGTGCCGAAAACATGGACTGTCCCCTTGTGCTCTGTCGCCTGTACCTCACTGGCTTTTGTGCTGTGATTTGGGTTGTAACAATTAGATGTCAATAAATGTTTCTTGTGAGTTAATAACTTTCCTTTTCCCCAGGCGAGAGAACTCGGATTGTTAAAGTAATGGACGTTGGAGGAGGAGAGGAAAAAAGGATGCCTTTCAAGGATGGGACTTGGGTGGACTTTAGAGATTAATGTTTGAAAAAGAGACTGGAAATAGCAAGATGAATTGAAAGATACCACTGCCCTTCTTGTAATCCTATTATTGTGTCTTATTCTTAAACATTTCAAGTCCTGTAAGTGTCTAATCATAGCTCCCCATTGTGTATTTAATTGTTAAAAAACATGTTTTTTCAGCAAAAGCTCTGACAGATGGCTGTGAGACAGAAATACTAAACATGATAAATAAATGAATGTCCTATAGTTGAGCATTGAGGGTGGTGGGAGAAGAGAGAATTGTTAAAGTAGATCTTGCTTACTATATATGTGCCAGTTGTTTCCTAAGTCATTTAAAAATGTTTTAGTATTCTATATCCCTGTTTAAAAAAATTATAACAGTTCCATGACTTAATAAAGCTTTTCCTGCATGCAGTCAGCTGTAATAATTTCTTTTTCACTGAACAACAACAAAAATTACCCATTGCCAGTCACAACTGGTGAAGATTTCTAATAAAAATTTTACAAATGGAAGCCCATGCCCTCTTGAAATTAGCCAGTTGTGGGTGGGGGTGGTTCATGGGTCCCTGCAATGCAGAGCTAGTTTAAATCAGTCACCTTTCCTGGGCTGATTCAGGAAGAACTCCAGGCGTACTTGCCCATTTTGCTGCTGTCTTGGAGGTGGGTGGTGAAAAGCAAACTCTGCCTCAAAAGTCTTTCCTCAAGAACTACTGGATAGTGGATGAACCTAGAGTCTGTTATACAGAGTGAAGTGAGTCAGAAAGAGAAAAACAAATATTGTATATTAAGGCATATATGTGAAATCTAGAAAAACAGTACTGATGAACCTATTTGCAGGACAGGAATAGAGAAGCAGACAGACAGACCGGTCAGATGGACACGGGGGTTAGGGAAGGGGAGGGTGGGATGAATTGAAGATTGGGTTTGACATACATACACTACCATGTGTAAAACAGATAGCTAGTGGGAACCTGGTATATAGTGCGAGAAGCTTAGCTCGGTGATCTATGGTGACCTAGAGTGGTGGAATTGGGGAGGAGGGAGGTCTAAGAGGGAAGGGACATACGTATACATATAGCTGATTCACTTTTTTGTACAGCAGAACTAGCACACCATTGTAAAGCAGTTATACCCCAGTTTAAGAAAAAAAGTACTGGAAATAGGAGTGGGGAGTGGGATGAAAGGTAAGGGGAAAAACAGGTGGGATTTGAAATCAGAAATTTCTAAGGAAGTTTTTTTTTAAAGATTCATTTTATATTTGAACATTTTTTTTGAGTGAGGGAATATGTATCTATACATACCCTTGTTTTCAAGTGTTTTTCTTTTTTCAGTTAAAGAGAAGTGGGGAGGCTCTAAATCTGGTGATTTTTCTCCATAAAATATCTCTTATTGGATAAATATTTATTAAACAACTTAAATGTTTACAAAATGCCTTCTCATAACTTGATTTTGAGGGGAGAAGCACATCATTGAGAAGGAATCAAACATCTATCACATAGTAGAGTCAAAATTTTGAGCTTAGAAAATTCATTCAGTGACTCCTTTTAAATAGACAGTTATTTAAAATTTTTCCTATTCACTTTCAAATCAATTCTCAACCACTAGAAAATACCTAAGTGGTTCTGCTATATTGCTTTTTATGTATTCTATTTTAAAAATAATATTTCTTAGGTAACATCCCTAATGAAGTAATTCCATTTATAAAAGAAAACACTCTATTTTGGCTATTTTTCAGGTGAATTCTCCTTGAAAAAATGTGTTGCACTCATTGTTTTTCTTTGTAGAGGAGCAAAGGTATTACTAAGTGACAAATACTACACTTTAGAAAGGGAAAGGAGGAGATTTAAAGTTAGCAATGGTAAGTAAAAATATTTTTAAATGTAGTAAATATTTATACAGTCTATATGCCATTGTTTCTACATCACATTAGAGCAAATACTTATATAATTTTTGTACATGTCATTGTTCTACATTATACTATTTAATCCTCATGACAATCCAGTGAAGCAGATACTGTTATGCCCATTTTGCAGGTTGATAAATGTTACAAAACCAGTAACCAACAGAGACAACATTTGAACCCAGGTGTTCTGCTGCATATTTGGTGCTTTTAACCACCACAATGTATTTCCATTCTAAGATGACTAGTCCAAGGACAAGTGAGTTGACTTTTCTGTTCTCTATTTGTGCTATACAGATTTGGAAAAGGAAGCTTTCTCAGAGCCTCCCTAGAATCCTGAAGGGAAGCAAAGAAGCAAATTGACTATTACAAAACACACATGATGATTTAGAAATAAAGAGAACATGAGGTGTTGGATAACTTTTCCCTGAAGAAATTACATGGTTGGAATCTTTTATGCCTAGAGACTTAGTAGATCTCTCCCCAAAATAATTATAAGCTTGAAAGAAGCTTTACATTGTTACCTTGGAACAGGGACGATGTAAACCAGTCTAACAGCTCTTCCAGCTAATAGTGTTATTCAAAGAAGCTGGAACCTATAGCTTCTAGTTTTTGCACTATCCAATATAGTAGCCTCTAGCTTTATGTAACTTCTGCACTTGAAATATGGCTAATCCAAAGTGAGGTGTATTGTAAATATACCATACATTATTATGAAAAGAATGGAAGTAGAATTACATGTTGAGATAATATTTTAGATACAGTGGATGAAATGAAACCTACTAATTTTGTATTTCTTTTTGCTTTTTAAAGTGTGACTAGTGGAAAATTTTAAATCGTATTTGTGGCTCGTATTTGGCTCATGTTATATTCCTCTTGGGCAGTGCTGATACATAGTAAGAGTGGCTAGCAGAACTAATTTCTAATTTGAATCATACTGCATATATTAGCTAGGATCAACAATCAAGTGTCAAAAAACGTTAGCATGTATTTAAAGTAATATGTGTTGTCAGATATCTACATAACTTCATGAAATTCAATATTAACAGAAATGTAACAAAATCCACTGAGAGGTATGTTTGCATATAAATGAATGTGAATTGAACATCTATAAGCTACATCTATAAACCTGGACCCACAGGCCCAGAACTCAGAAAAATAAATATGTTAGCCAGTGAATTCAGGGAGTTGGTGAGGATTAAAATAAATGAAAATTGAAAACATGCCCTCTGCACTGATACGATGTTTTTTCAGGCTACTGATACTGACAAATCTGTCATCTATTATGATGCTGCAAAGTGAAGAAACCTAGTGTGGAGATAAATGCAATTTTATAAACTGGGATTCAAAAAATTTAACTGACACCAGTATCATGGGTCTACATGGGTGCCTTCACAGATGCTCTGTTCTTTCCCTCACGGTAATGTCCCTCAGGTAATCCCCCCTGTCTACCTCCAAGTTTCCTTTCCAGTCTTCTCTGAGAGCATATCACACCATGGACCCTTTTCCCCAGACAGCCTGGGCAGTTTTCTGTTTCCTTGGACATCCTATGTGGTCATTCCTTTGTAGTTTCTTCATACAAAGAAGAACAATTTTCTTCCATTTTCTGTCCATCAAAATTTTATTCACCATTTAAAACCCTGCCCAAATACCAACTATCATTACCTTTGAAGGCTTCCTTATTTTTTAAAATAATTATTCACATATGTTATTAAGGGTCAGCAATATCCTGCCCTAGTGCCGATCCCTGGGGTACAGCATCCCTACCTTTAAGAAGCTCATAATCTAACAAGGGAGATGGGGGGGGCAGGGAAATGCACAGCGGAGTGTGACAGGTGCCAGAAGATGAGTCCATTCTCCACCCTGCTATCATATTGATCTTTCAAAAATGCAGTTTGATTACACTACTGCTGTTAAGAGCCATCATTTGCTAGCTATTCTGACAAATGTGCACAAAACTACGCAGATGAAGATGTGTTACAGCATTGTTCATTCTACCTCTGCTATTTATTGTGTGTCTGAGGGGCAAGTCCTCTGGGCATCATTGTCCTCAGATGTGAAATGGGGATGATGATAATAGCTTCTATTCAGGATGGTTATATTAAATGAGTTAATACATACAAAGTACTTAGAATAGTGCCTGGCACATTCCAAACAATCCATAAATATTAGCTATTACTATTATTAACAGAAGACTGGAAATTACCTAAATGACTATCAATATGGGCTTAGCTACATTAAAATAATAATGAGGTGATACGGGCCAACACACAATATCTCCAAGGCTTATTTTAAGCCTGCTTCCATTTGAGGGTTAGAGTGTGTATGTATAATTGTATATGCATAGTAGAAAACTCTTCTAGAAGGATATTCAAGTAAATGTTAATAGGCATTGCCTCCAAGAAAGGCAATGACTGCTTAATGGGGAAGAAGACCCACTTTTCATTTTATAACCTTTAATACATTTTGAATTATATTGCCATGTGCAATGTTGTTTTTCTAATTATTGAAAAAAAGCCAGATAATTTCCTTATGAGTCTTAGCAGGAAAGGACAGAGTAGGAACTAGAATCCAAATTTTCGAATACCCAGCCCCAGTGCTTTTTATATTGTATTCAATATTAGTAACCCCAGTTAGGAAACCACATAAGCTAACTGAAAGGAAAAAATATATATTATTGTGTACCTAGCATAGGGCATTTAACAGACGAGGACCAGATGAGGCTCAGAACCATTAAATAATTAACCTGAGCTCACACACTGGGATCACTGGGGCTGGGATTCTCCCGCAGATCTACCTGATATCACCAAAATGAACCCAAAATCAAAAAATGTAGGTTTAATACTG